CCTTTTTGACTGATTTTTATTATAAAACCAAAAGCTCATCAATCTCATCTAGGGCTTTAGTGGGAAAAAAAAAAATAAATGTGGAAAAAAAAATAAAAATGGGAGAAATGTGATAACTTAGGAGGCTTGCTTGCTGTACATCTTTGGTCTATCTCAAGCCACACCAGCTCTTTCAATGAGGTTTTTTCTTCTAGAAATGATAGTACCTGACATTGCTATTGTACAGCAGAGTTCATTCAAGAATGCTTTAAATCTGTAATTCTTCAGAACACTGTAAAGAAGAAAAAAAAAGAAAAGGCTTTTGATCTTCTACAGAGATATGGGTTTTATTTGAAAATACTTCCTCATATCATTTTTGTTAGACTTACACCAGTTATTTCATTAATTTGATGGAAGCTGCAAGTTGTAATAGATACTGATTTTAGGCCAAGGGGCTCTTGTCCCATTGGCTGTAATGCAGTCATTCATCGTTGAGCATCCTATGGATGTAAAGTATTACAGAGCTTAGCTGTGATCTTGAGAGTGTGGTTTAGGGTAAAAAGTATTTCATGTTTATATCTTTTAGATAACTTCACGTGAGCAAGCTATGTAATAGATTTCTGTCTAAATGAACAATGTCTTTCATAGTTATTATTACCAGCCTTTGGATGCATTGCGTATCTTCTGAACAAATACCATCATTTAATATGATCTTAGCTATATTCCACAATGAAGGCTGCCAGTTAGAGATGTACTGGTTTAAATACAGAAATAAAAGCTGTGCTTCATTTGCACGTGTGTGTGTGTGATGAATTAGAATGCCCATGCAACACTGGGCCATGCATTCCTTCTATAGGCTAAAACAGCCTCTGTTGTTTGCTGTTGTAAATTTTTCCATGCATAATGGACGGTTACTTGGCTTGGCCTTTTTTTATATTGTTGCTGGAGTAATTTTTATACTATCCCCTTCTATGTTTTTATATTCCAAAGGAGTCTGTGAAAGAAACAAAGAACATTTTGCATCTATATGCAGACACTCAGCCCTGTCAATTGTTTTTTCAGAATCCTTAATGTACTCTTCAGTGAGTAAACGTCTCCTCCCACTGAAACTTTGGGGTTTATTATTATTTTGAGAAGTGACTGTGTTGTTCCTTCTAGTAAAAATGGGAGAAATGTGATAACTTAGGAGGCTTGCTTGCTGTACATCTTTGGTCTATCTCAAGCCACACCAGCTCTTTCAATGAGGTTTTTTCTTCTAGAAATGATAGTACCTGACATTGCTATTGTACAGCAGAGTTCATTCAAGAATGCTTTAAATCTGTAATTCTTCAGAACACTGTAAAGAAGAAAAAAAAAGAAAAGGCTTTTGATCTTCTACAGAGATATGGGTTTTATTTGAAAATACTTCCTCATATCATTTTTGTTAGACTTACACCAGTTATTTCATTAATTTGATGGAAGCTGCAAGTTGTAATAGATACTGATTTTAGGCCAAGGGGCTCTTGTCCCATTGGCTGTAATGCAGTCATTCATCGTTGAGCATCCTATGGATGTAAAGTATTACAGAGCTTAGCTGTGATCTTGAGAGTGTGGTTTAGGGTAAAAAGTATTTCATGTTTATATCTTTTAGATAACTTCACGTGAGCAAGCTATGTAATAGATTTCTGTCTAAATGAACAATGTCTTTCATAGTTATTATTACCAGCCTTTGGATGCATTGCGTATCTTCTGAACAAATACCATCATTTAATATGATCTTAGCTATATTCCACAATGAAGGCTGCCAGTTAGAGATGTACTGGTTTAAATACAGAAATAAAAGCTGTGCTTCATTTGCACGTGTGTGTGTGTGATGAATTAGAATGCCCATGCAACACTGGGCCATGCATTCCTTCTATAGGCTAAAACAGCCTCTGTTGTTTGCTGTTGTAAATTTTTCCATGCATAATGGACGGTTACTTGGCTTGGCCTTTTTTTATATTGTTGCTGGAGTAATTTTTATACTATCCCCTTCTATGTTTTTATATTCCAAAGGAGTCTGTGAAAGAAACAAAGAACATTTTGCATCTATATGCAGACACTCAGCCCTGTCAATTGTTTTTTCAGAATCCTTAATGTACTCTTCAGTGAGTAAACGTCTCCTCCCACTGAAACTTTGGGGTTTATTATTATTTTGAGAAGTGACTGTGTTGTTCCTTCTAGTGGGTCTTGTCTCCTATATGAAGTTGGTTTTATGGGGATTTTTTTTGTTGGTTTTTTAAATATGATTTCAATTGCAAAGTGTTCCCTTTATGAGCAGCCAGCTTACATAGACACATGCAGGAACAGGGCTTCAGCATCTGACTGACTGCATGGGTTACCTTTTTGGAGAGACTGATATCATACAACCCTGAGCAAAACCAGTGAAAGCAAATTTCTACATTGTATTTTGCATGTTCAAAAGGGAGGACGGGCCTACCAGCTTAGAAGATAGTTTCAAATGATACTGGGAAATTTAAGAACCTTGCAAAACTGCTTAAAATAATCTTACAAGTAAAATTAATCTATAAATAATATCAATTCTGAAATATCAGTTATATGTTCAAACAGATCCTTTAGCAACAACAGTGAGAAAATTTACTAGTGTTGTAGTCATTGCATTATGTGGAAGTTGGCCCATAGCCCAGTCCAACAACATTAAACACCATATTTTTCCAGTAAGGTAGTTTCTGATTGGAGTATCTGTTTTCAGCTCAAGTAGCTTAATGTGGGAGACTTGTACTAACTCAGAAAGGGCTCTGGTTTCCTACTGTAGTTGTCTCCCTTAATGCAATTGGACATCAGGAATCAAATTTAAACTTTGAGCATAATACATCATATGGGATCTTTACAGCAGTAGTTTTGACTTAGAGTGTTCTAGCCCAAAAATGTAAATGCAGAAAAGAAACAGATTTGGTTTTTAAACGTTCTCAAGATGCTAAAATGCTTTTAAACTAGGACTTAGATTGGACTTCTATCCAAAGATAAGTGAAAATGTTAATATTGCTAATTTTCTGGCTCTGTTTCTCTTTCTTACTGTCTTCAACAAATTGACTTCTGTGACCCTAATTGCATCAATTTGTTTAATGTTAATGTCTATTTTAAACACTGCTGCTAAAAAAAAAAAAAAAAAAAAAAAAAAAAAAAAAAAAAAAGATAAGTTAAAAGATTAATGAAGGAATAAAGGTTCTGGGAAAATCTTTCTCTCTAAAATCAGTGAATAGATACAGGTGTGTAATTCTCTGCGAGCTACAGCATAAAACTACACAATTACTATGTAACAGTCATTATTGCAACATAACTGTCACACTATGAAATCACATCTTGTATAAAACAGAAAAATGTGGAAGGAAAAAATAAGAGTGGGTATTGTGGGTCTTCATAATTCCTAGTAGTACCTAGCTGGAATTGAATATTATATTTTAAAAATCCTTCATGACCAGGGCTGCTTTGAGGTGAACAATACCCATGGGAGATCTTCTTTTAAAAGATTAATGAAGGAATAAAGGTTCTGGGAAAATCTTTCTCTCTAAAATCAGTGAATAGATACAGGTGTGTAATTCTCTGCGAGCTACAGCATAAAACTACACAATTACTATGTAACAGTCATTATTGCAACATAACTGTCACACTATGAAATCACATCTTGTATAAAACAGAAAAATGTGGAAGGAAAAAATAAGAGTGGGTATTGTGGGTCTTCATAATTCCTAGTAGTACCTAGCTGGAATTGAATATTATATTTTAAAAATCCTTCATGACCAGGGCTGCTTTGAGGTGAACAATACCCATGGGAGATCTTCTTTCAAAGTTAGTTTCAACGTAAACCAGGAAGGAAAGACTATGTGAACATTTCGTATGACTAAGGCTGCCAGCTGCAGTTTTGAATCTCACAGCAATTCAACTTTCTTTCTGTGATAGCAGAAGGCAGGCGTTTTCATAGGAAAATTAGGGAAACTCCTCGGAAAGCTTCTCTGTCTTATTTAAGAATGAATCAGCAAGCAGAGTGAGCTCACACTCAACCCCCATTTAAGGTTTTAGCAAGAAACAGAGATTTATTTATTTATTTATTTATTCCTGCTTTCAGGCTTCCCAAGAACATTTAGTTTACTCAAGTTCATTTTGAATTAAGGGTTAACATGGAGTTTATATTTCCTTGGAATATAGCCCTCTAATCTGTTTACATTCCTCTGTATACCCAGTTGTGATGAGTAAATCACTGCAGTTGTTTTGTCTGTGTAAGGATACAGTGTATCAGGCCTTTCTGGAACTATCAAATAAGATTGTTAGCAGAAGCCTGGTTAATCTGTTTTCTTCTGCAATAGCTTACCATAGCCACAAACTATGCTAGTGATAAGAAAGAAAAGGCAAGACTTGGTGTCAGATTCTGTACCTTGTTTACTCTAGGCAGAACACAGAGTAACTACAGAAAAAAAAGACAATGAATTTAGGTTTATTCCATTGTAACTTGGGTCAGAAACATCCCTTTGGAATAGTATATATTTAATGATAGCATCATATGTTGATTATTTGTTGTTGTTGTTGGATTGTGGAATTGTAGCTTTTTTTCTGAAATTCACTTCCTGCCTAGTAAGGATCTGATACTTATATCCCATCCTCTTTGTGAGCAACTTTTAAATATTTCAATACCAGGAAAGAACTTGTTTCCAAATTCACTTTCAGACTGGAGTAAAGAAATTAAATCAATGAGAGTTTAGAAAGAAAAGCGAAGAACAGCCAGAGAAAAAAAATATAAGTTCCAAACTTGTTCACTTGTTGGGTTTCTCAGTAGGAAGCTCTTATTGTGAGACCTATCTCAGCCCCAATTAGTCAGTGACACCAGGCCAAGGAATAGAGCTGTTGACATTGATGAAAGGAGAGATGAAATAATGAGGAAGGTAATACTGCAGGAACACATGTGAATAATGACTTACAAATATTAACTGTCTTGCATGATGTGGTATTTCCGGTGAGATTTCTCATGTGATTGTTCTTTTTTCAAGGGATCGAGCTCCCTTCATCTTCACATCAGAAATGGAGTATTTCATCACAGAAGGTGGAAAAAACCCACAGCGCTTTCAAGAGTTTGTGGAGCTTTGTTGTCGAGCTTATAATATAGTCAGGAAACACAGCCAGTTACTCTTGAACCTGCTGGAGATGGTAAGAATTTTGAGGATAAAATAAAAAATCAATTTCCTCTGGTGTCCTCTTCTCTTTTACCACTTCTCTGCTGCTTGCAGCAGCACTGTGATTTCAAGAGGTATCAGCTGCTCTGCTAGAAATGTTAGTGCTGACACTTCCTGTGAAAAAAATAACAACTATCCAGTTCCAGTGCTAATTTCTGAGAAAAGAAAAGCTAAGCTGCTTGTTTTGGGGTTGTTTTTGTTGTTTGGTTTTTGGTTGGTTGGTTGGAGTTTTTTAAATGTATTCTTTTTTACAAAAGAGTAGGAAACTGCAAAAGCTACTGGGTACAATTTTTACATTCAGGAATTTCCCTCAGCCCTTTTTCTAGGTCTCCTAGCAATAATTTACCAATCCCTTTTATGGGTACAGGAAGACGAAATCAATGATATATTTCAGAGTGGGTGATGTGGCAGTGCCTTGCAGCACTGCATCTAACAGCGATGACATTAGAATGTTTATTTGCACATTTCCACACTCCCTTCTTAGGAAAGAAAGAGCACTATCCATATTAATGCAGGTATAAAAATCATTTTGTGTAAGACTTCAAGACCTTTCAGAATTTTTATCCCTTGAATTTTCTTGCTGATTCACATGCTGTGGCAGATTCCATAACTGCTTTATGCCTCTATTTACTTAGTGTATAAAAGGTTAATTATTTTTGCCCTTCATGGGTGGAATGATAATATTAAATTAATTAATATTTGCTAAGTTGTTGCTTGGCTAAGATATTAATCTAAACCTTATGTCCCTGTGCATAACCTAGGTGATTGGTCTGTACATGAAAAAAATCTACACAACCTTATGTACAGAACTGCTGCTGACATTGGGGTACAGCCAAGAAGTATCTATCTGTTCTATCATTTCCAACTTCTGCAGTGGGGAGGGGAGAAATAGCAAAAATGTGGTCATCATATCTCTCTTGTCCATGGCTTCTTCTGCAGTGCTACAGCAAGTGATTTCCCTATATGGGACAGGAAGGCTTGCCCCAGATCTCTTAACCTTAACCCTAATTGTAGGTAGTCATAAAGGTGCAGCAAAACTCCATTCCCATCTAAAGCATAATTCTGCACTGATAGCAGTGCATCGTACAGTTGTAGGAGATACTGCCTAATTAAGGAGCCTCTGGAAAACTCAAGAGCATCCATGCTTCCTCATCCACGGCAATCTCTGCATTTCTGAACAGGTTCTCTAAAACTGCATGCTGCAAATCTTCTGCCCACCTCCTTGTGCCCAGTGCAGTCCTTTTTTCTGCTATCAGCAGAGATAATGATGTTAGATTACTCAGGGATAACAGAGAGGGAGCATTAGGAAAATGTTCCCAGCAGGAGCTCTGAAATAACTAGCTATCTCTGCCTGGATATAGCTCAGGTTTGTCTATATTCAGGTCATGCTGCATCTTTTGTTTCTGCTGATGTTTAAGGAGAGGTAATAGTGCTGAGCTAAAAGTCAGCATGCAGATATGTTTTCACATTTGTCAGTGAGCAGCAGTTTAGTCCATTGTGTTGCATTTCATAATTGAAAAATAACTGGCAACATACTTGCACCCCATTGATGAACACTTTCTATCAAAAGGAAATTAAATAAACAAGGCGAGTTTGCAAACTCCTCATTTCTGCCAGTGATGTTCAGAAGGTTGAGTCTGGCTTTGCACTTGAAATGGGGTGTTGGTCTGAAATTAATAGTATCAAAATGTTTCTGTTTCATGTGTCATATCTAGAAAAGTAAATAGACTGTGAAGAAATTACATTTTTAATTCATTTCCATGCAAAATATCAGATGTTATCCTGAAGGGGCAAGATAAAATAACCATTGCCAGTTTGCCCCAGTGGCAGTCTAAGATTTCGCTCACTATCTGGAAATCTGCAACATTAATCTTTCTTTCTCCTCCCACATTGTGTTTTCTGGGATGCCATTTTATAATCATGGTTAAAAATTCTTAAAAAAATAATAAAAAAAAAGAGGCTATTTTTTAAAAATACAGTGTTTAATAGGAGTAGCAAACTATGTGCTGGATGGCCAGTGACTGCAAGTGGTTTCGAGCAAATCATGATTATAAACACTTTGGCATTTTTCGTTAAGTTTGGCATATTTTCATTAAGTTTGGGACTTAATGCTTTTTCTTGATGGTGAGCAAAATGTTTCTAGGGCTGTACTGACATTTGGTACTAGGAGTAAGAAACAATCCATGAAGTTTGCATTACTTTTGAAAGCAGAAACAACTGTGGAAGCCCCAAGAGTTATCATAGAGAGGGTGATTGCAGGACACAAGCACATTTCAATTAGTTTTTTTTAAAATGCAGTGCTGTTATAAAGATTTTTTTAGATATAACATTATTAAAAGGGGCTTAGAGGTGACACTAGACAGGAAGTAATTGCCTTCTGTTTTTTTGCCTCTGTTGTGACGTGAAACAGATCAACCTAATAGTATGAAACAGGAGCCAGTACCTAGACAAAGCAGATCTAAAACTCAAGAAGCCCATGTACCCATACAAGCCATTTGACTCTTCTACAACTCAGAATCACCATTTGAGAAAAGAGTATAAGGAAACACCTCAGTTTGGAGGTCTAACACGTGACAATTACATGCCAAAGACTATGCATTTTTCATGGCAAGGCGGGCTAAATATCCCCCACCAGGTCTCAATCCAGGCCCAAGGAGAGTATAGGACAGCTCCACCCAGGGAGTCAGAAGGCCTGGGGTAGGACTAAGTGTGATAGGTCAAGGCATACACGTGGCCAAACAGAGGGAGCAATGCAGGCACTTCAGCTTAGGCATCTAGTGACATTTGAGTTGCCCTAGGGATCCTGTAGTTGTTTTGTGAACAGTTGTTCCATGTCTTGTCTAATTAGCATCTAGTATCACTAGCCGTGGTTTTCAGAAGCGTCATCCAATCAAGGGACTGGAAATATGAAAGATATGGTGCAAAAGAGATGAAGCACTATAATAAGCCTCTAAGACTCTCTTGCAGCCAGTAAAGCACTGTGTTGGTTCTGCCCAGCTAAACACACTTCTGCTTCAGCAGATGTTTTTCCACCTTCTGCAAAAGTAAACCTGAATAATAAAAAATGTCCTTTTTTCACTTGCACTCACAAATCATTCAGATTATGGTCATATTTGACATTGTTCCCTTTTCTAAGTCAAGGCAAGAAGCTTAATTTGCCTATGTCCAACTTTTTTTGTTGTTGTTTAAAAAAAAGCAAATGGGGCAGGAGTTGTTATCATCTCTTATAAATGCATTGAAGGATTGCAGATAAATAGCATTGTGTGTCCTGAAGTGCTGAATGTTGTTATTGTCCCTGCTCTCAACTCACTTAAATTCACCTCATTGAGCTTTCTCATTTTCTCTTCTCCTTGCTAGCCAGAATTCTGTGAGACAGCAATCTAATTGTCCAGTAGCAGTATAGAATGAGTCAGATACAAAGCAAGATTTTCCTCCTAATGCCTATAAGAAAATATAAAAAATATTTAAACTTGAATTAAAAATATTGAGAAGGTTTGAAGGAAGAGAGAAAATAGCATTCCATCTAATTTCCCCTTATGCTAGTCACCTCTCAACAAAATCTTAAAATAAAACAGTGCTTCCTTTCTTCTTTGCTGTTATCCACAAAATTCAGTGAGTCTTTCTGTCTGAGCTAGACATAAATATCAATGAAGAATGCACAGCAGTGACTGAAAATTCAGATATATTTCCTTCTGAGCAATGTGGAGCGATTTTTTTTGCTCTCCATTACACAGAAGGCATCACTCTCAGCTTGCTGTGATTGCTGAGAAAAATCAGTAGGTTTTGAAGTGGTCAAAATTAGTTTTGTTGTTGACATTTTAAAATACCTGGGAATTGGTGTATGGTCGATTGGACACAACCAGTTGTCTATCCTATTCGTTGCGTTACTTTGCAAGGAGAATATTTGCATTATTTGTCTTTTGAACCTTAGCTGGCCAACTAACTAGGACAGATCTGTCCCAGATCCATGAAAAATGACAAGCTACTCTAAACAGCAATTCTCTGCTCCTCAGTCAGGCAGGGCTTCTGCTATGAATTGACATCTAAAGAAACCTTCTTCCTCCACTGACTGTAAGGGGAGTGAATCTTTGACCCCATTGCAGAAGTCCAGAGCAGTGATTGTGGAATCAGTAGTTACAAATGTGAAAGTGATACTGGACTAAATTGGAATGGGACCAGGGTAACACTGAGCACATAATGGAAAAATGGTTACTTGTGGTTCAGGTGGCTGAATTTGGCTGCCTTCCCTTTATCACCATTAGGAGGCTATGAACAAAGCTCAGATATACACACATGGAGATTATATCTGAAGAGAAAATAAATAACAAAAATGAAGCAATGATTTTGACCCAGGCTCTTCCCAGCACTTCAGTCTGAAGGTTTATAATATACTACATTCACTTCAGTGTTCCAGACATTGCTCTAGTATCAGAACCACTTTTCAGACAGCAAAACTTTCTGCTTCTCAAGAAGTTCTTTTGGTCTAACACCATTCTTTTCTCAATTGGCTCCATTAAGTTTAAATTTCTTTTTAATAATTTGTGGACTAATTATATTTATTTACCTTAAGATGCTTCATGCAGGATTGCCTGAGCTAAACAGCATTCAGGATCTGAAGTATGTGTATAATAACCTCCGTCCTCAGGACTCAGACCTCCAGGCTACAAGCTACTTTACAAGGTAAAACCAGAATATAATCCAGAAAGTCCATCTCCTTAAGGCATGAAGTCAAGCTGTCAAATTAAAAAACAAATTTAAGAAGAAGCCGTTTTTCTAGTTTGTTAAGTGGTTGTAATCAGTGAAATTGCACAAAAGAATAATTGGTCTTCACATATTTACTTCAAAAAAAGTCCACTCCTTATAACTATTATAACAGTTTCTGGCAGAAGCTGTTGCACATTTCTGGTACACTTGTAGAAAGCCACTTAGTCAGTACCTAGAGATTTCTTTTGCTTTCATGGTGAAACCATCCTGGCTTATACCTAGTAAGCTTTTCTCTCTGCTTTTAAGTGCAGCAGCTACATGCAAAAGGATTTGGACTGCATAAAAAGGTTCATCTTGTTAATGGACTGAGTGAGGACCTGGAATTCCCACATTTTATTCTCTTTTGTGTTCTTTTTTACATTCTTTGTTGCTTCAGGCAAGTTATTTCTCTGTGTTAGCCATAGTTCCTTCATGTGCAGAATGGTACTGATTTTTCTTTTTAAGCACTTAACAGATCTATCACAGAACAGCATTGTATGTGAATAGATGGATGTTTAAAGCTTGATTTGTGTTAGGATAACGTAACCTTTCATTTGTTTGTGATAATGGCCTGTATAAAATCAGTTTGAAGTCCTCCATGTTGATCTTTTGGTTCAGGCTTCTACATTACATATAATTCCAGCTCTTTATCTGAAGGTTGTCTAGATGGAGCCAGTGAAGACTGTCTAGATTGGGAAATTCACTTTCCTATTCTATGCACAGTATGAGAAAATCTGTCCCTATCAAACCCTGTCCTGTGCAGCACCATCATTTCCCAAGGACAGTCTATGAATTCACACACCCTGGATACCACATACATATGCAAAGAAAGCCAGACACTTCTGACCTCTCCCTCTGGCCCAAGTACAGGGCACATACCCATCACAGCACTGGACTCTGAGTGAAGGTCTGCTTTCAAACTCAGAGCCCCAAAGGACACTCCCATAAGGCAGCACAGTCCTCTGCACTGTGCGAACTGCCTTGAGACAAGAGGAATCCCCCTACCCTTCACTGCAACCAGAGAGCACATTGCAATAACTAAATGAGATGAAAGCTTGATCTGGAGCAGCTGAGCCAGTCTCATTACCATTATAGAGGCCCATCTGAAGATTTGGGGCAATTTGAATTGTGTTGCTTATATATCTCCTTTTCATATATTAGAATTGGAAACTGAGACTGCAGATTGAGACCTTTCTTTGGAGAGAAGATGGGGAACTTCTCAAACAAAACTATTGTTCCATTACTTTACACACAGCAGAGCACTGAGTCGCTTCTCCTTTAACACTTTCATATGCTTTCACTCTTGCTCCTTAACAAATTATTTTACTTTAAAATTTAATTGCAGCTTCTCATTCACCTTATCCTTTCCTTCAAAATTTCAGATATTCCCAACTTACAGACTTATATTTCCACTTCAAATAGGAATCACGTAGTTTCTAATTAGAACGTAAAGTCTTGACTCTGTCAGATAGTTTGGGTTGTTTCTGTCCCTCGTGGGTAAAAAAAGCCAGTTAATTTAATTAGTGAAAAACAGGCAAGGATATGCATAACAAATCCAGAGATGTGAGTCTCAGAGTGAAAATTGTGTGTCATGTAAAGCTCAGAGCTAGTGCTCGGCTCTCTTCTGAGAATGGAAAGGCTCAGGATGCTTTTCAGTTGGGTATGATTAAAACTGTATTTAGGATTAGTATCACTGCCGTCTTGCTTAGCTGGAAGACAAAGGATTTGGGTTCCATTCAGGACAGAGCTGTAGATCCACACTCTTTCCTGGAGTTGAACAAGGTGATATGGGTTTGTGGTGTTTTAATGCTTTGGGTGAAGGAAGTGAGGGACTCAAGAGTGGGAATTCAACTGCAATCTTTCTCTGCCAAAGCATGTGCCCTAACAGTTGGCATTATGGAGGAGATGTGGCTCAAGACAGTCTTGAAAGTGGGAAGAGTTGGTGGGCTTTGTTGCCTGGAAGAGGTTCATATTAGGATTAGGATACCCTGTTCAGCCCAAAGAGGTAGGCCAACCTGTCCTTCTTCCCATTAGATTTCTTGTTAAGGTTGATGATAAAACAATGAAGGCCTTCAGAGTGGATATGCCACTGAAGTCCTGCTTACCAACAAAACTGGCATCATGGTACAGTTCTGGAGAGTCACATGGGTTCTGTTTTTGTTTGAAACTATATTTTCTGCTAAAATGTTTTTTATTGAACTCCAGATCTATTGTTCCAGTGTCCTTCAAAATGCTGAAATGTAATTTATTATTGTCCGTAGAGATCATGTAGAAAAGTTAGATATTGCTACTGTCCATATTTTGTTCTTTAATACTCTCAGGGTAAGTTTGTATTATATATGCTCATTTACAAGAAGAAAGCCTCTTGTCAGCTCATGAATTTCCATGGATCTCATTTCTCTTGGTGCCTTTTTTTTCCTTTATTCTTATTTCTATTCATGTTTGGAAAAAAAAAAAAAGTGATAACACATGCATTAACTAATATTTCTACATGTCTTAATGGGGACAGAACATCAGGTTTCATGCCTAATCCTATTTTAATTTCTGAAAAATGTATCCAGGCATCTTTCAAAATAAAGACTATCAGGAATGGCCTGATACCCAGATCCATGCAGAACTTAGCCCTCTGTGTAAGCATTTTCTGACATGCCCCCGGGAATGTTAAATATTGAGGGCTTTGTGAGCTTTGCGTTACCTACGTCATCTTTGTTCCTTTCCTTCAGAGAAATGATTCCCTACCTCTTTGTTATACAGGAAGTCCAGCTGAGAAAAAATCCAGTCACTCACATCTCATGGTCACTCTGTAGCTTATTCCTGTATCTATTTTTTCAGGCTGTCCTTAGAAAGCCAAGAAAATTAAAAGTTCTGGTTGTTGACATAAATTCCAGTAGGTCTGAAATCCATCTTAGCTCCTTTTTCTCCGTAAACTTCCAGAAACATTCTATTGTTTTAAATAGTTCTTTTTGAGATAAGGAATGGGGTCATTGGAATGTTATAATCTGCCAACAGAAAGTTATTTCTTGTTCTAACTACAAGGTAGTTATTGTAATCTTTCTGATTCAATCACATGCTGTGTATCTACTGAAAACCCCTATCTTCTGCTAGTGGAAATAGGAGAACAATATTTATCTGTATTTCTGTAGAAATATGTTGCTTTTAGCAATTGTCTGAGTTTGGTTTGCCCAATAATTCTGATGTTACCTCCTCTGTTGTTTAAAAACAACATGTAATGAGGAACAATGTCATAAATACTCCTGGCAAAACAATGGTAATTTGTTCTTTGCCGTCAATTTTTTAGCCAACAGAATAATTCTACCAGAGCTTGCACTGTGACATATTGACCCCTTTCAGGATCATAAAGCATTCTGTGTTTTACAAAATTCCTTTCCTCTCATTATTGATTTAAGACATGTTCTACCATCTGTATTCTCATTTGTGTTCTGTGTTCTTCTCCCATTGGGTCAGTTCACTGCTATGAGCTGATGAGCAGCAGTGTTAAGCCTCACAGCTTACAGCCTTCTGGAAGGTCGCACCCTCAGATCATGGATAAACAATGCACCAACTGAGAATTAAACAGGAGTTTCTGTGTTTGCTTGTCAGTTCTGTGCACCTAGTGCCAAATGCAACATTGTTGTCCCTCTAGCATCTGCCCTGAACTCAGTTTGATCCTTGAAACTCATTTTGATCCTTTCCCCTCCCTCTTTTCCTCTTCCCCTGAAAACACAGTTTTACCAGAAACTGGAAAATCATCTTACCTCTGGATATAAATTTCCTCTTTGGTTTTCTGCAGATGTCTTAAAATGTCAGCATGGTGTCACATGCTGCCTCACATTTTTAATGTGCCTGTAAAGGGGTGTATATTTTAAATTATTTTAAGGGATTAAAGTTAGCCTAATGCAATGAATAGGGTTGATTTCAATTGATTGCAGTATGCAATCTAACCCTCTTATAGAAGCCCATGAATAAGAGATGCACAGTGGATCTGACAATTACCAGCAAAGCACTATTGCATATCTTCAGCAGCATGATAGAGGGGGATGCTGCTTGGGTCAGCTGCCATCTTTACTTATGTATTAACAGGATCATTTGTTAGGTACCTGCTATTGACCAGGTCAAGCACATCCACCCCAAATGACAAATGCCAGCAGTTTCAAAAGGGGAAAATTTAGAGTAACTGCTTTCAAAACACGATGCTAATCTCAAACTCATCAGCCAACCCCTGTTTCTCAGGTGGCTGCAGATACTCCAGCAAGAAATCTCCCGAACAACTGAAACACCAGTGATAACTGGTGACTGCTGAAAGGGTGTAGACAAAACTACGGTACTAAAGTTCTCTCAGCGGCTTTTAAGCAGCCTGTAAAGATCATGGTATATGTGCTTCAAAGGAACAGAGGGAGACGTCCTCCTTGAATTTGTGTTGTTTGAGATATTCATACTGATGCAAAAACTGCACATGCCACCAGCTCAGGGAAGAGGAATGTCCTCTTTACTGGGAGAGGCACATAGGAAGACTAGTAGGGAAACTAGACTGGAAGATGCACTTCGGGAGAGAACGTGGTGTATTCATCCCATGGGATCAGAGTTAGTCTGAATAAACTTGCATTTTAAAGCCTATCAAAAAAGAGGTAAAAAGAGTATTATTATTGCCTGCATACTATCACAGTGGGAAATAAGCTATTAAACTGAAAGGTTATCACTGCTGTACACACAAAGAATATCAACTGGCCATAAACAGATGTTGCTGAAAATTAGAAAGGTCTGTCCCTGAAAGCAGTAATATTCTGGAAAAGTCTGTTAAGAGCTGTTGGGAGCATCCTACCCAACTTGGTTTAAAATGGACCTTGGTAAATTCATGTTCATTAACATCTGAGAATCCCATGAAATTAAGTCTTGCTCATTCTACTCTAAATTATTTCAGGCTTAGATGGAAATGAGAAGCAGGATGCCATCAGGAATGTTAAGGTTTGAAATTAATATTAGGTGTATGTGTATATGTATATATACACACCGAAACTAAGATTTGGATAACTAGTCACTCATAATGAGTGTATGTGCTCTTAAAATGCTGTGGAGAGAAGCTGGTGTATCCAAAAAGATCTAAGCACCAGCCCTCAGAATGCCTGTCGCATAAGAAATGCCCACTTCCTAAAAATCAAGACACCAGCTACCACTAGTCACTCTGAAAAACTTTAGCAGTGCTTTCATCCATCTCTGTTTACTCAAGCAGTCAACCAGACTGTGAATGTTTTATGTTGTACCACAATTTGACATTTTTGTAGAAAGATTGTGAGCTAAATCTGAAATTTTAAGTGAGTTCA